TAGATAACAATCTGTTTTGGTCTCTAATCAATTTTTTTTTTACTTAATTGAAGATAAAACGTTAAATCTGTCCACAATTTTTTTTTCTTTAAAAGAAATCAGAAAGCTTCCAAACCTTCCACAAGGGAAAAAAAAAATTCTCCCTGCTTTCACTCATAAACCCAGTGTCGTAAACATCAACACAGAAGCAAACTGAAATCTAATGGCACTTTGTTGTTCTAACGCCACACTGAAAACAAACAAGACTTCTGTGTAGACTTCACACTTTTCATTACCCTTTGTTTTTTTTCACATGTTTAATTTCCCCCAGCTCTCAGTATCATTTTGATCTTTACCGATACTGAAAACTTCCAGCTTAGCAGAAGAAAAATCTGGCACTACTTCTATTTTTCCAGTTTACTATAATAGACAGCATGGCAAGGAAAGAAAAAGGCTGCAGTTCTCTCCTACGCAGATTTTCTTCTGAACTCAGCCGCGGTGTACTGGGTCCATTATAAAACAAGATTACATGTAATCATACTCCCACTCCATTGCACAATTAACAGATTTGGAGGCCAGGAATGTGCATTTTATTAGAACAACCAACTGATTGCTCTTAAATAAAGGGAGAAATTTTGATCTGCAACCGTCATAATTCCATTGTCTAAGTCAGCTTCTGGCAGAACTAATATAATATTGGCATATTGATCTTACTCTATTTTATGGTGAATAAAGACTTCTTGAAAAATATTTGATGCAAACTGAGTGTGCTAAAAAGTAGGACATAATATTTCATCACCGTTAATTGACACATTTTCAGGAAAATGATGAAGTGGTGGAGTTTTACTCTTTAAACATGGTATGTCCATTAGATATGGCCCCAGACATCAGACGTCGGCAGGAATCGTTCTCGGTTCTGCGAGTTCAATAGCACCAATACATGACTCACAGAGGCTCGCATTTTGACAAATTTTCTAGCCAATAATATTGATGTGTAATGGAAGATGGAGCTTTTCAATTTTAACATTCTTGTGAATTTCACACAAATTTCAGGCTGTAAACAAAGTTTTCTCTGTAAACTTTAATTAAATTTTAAAAGTAAAATGCCTATAAATGACAATAAAAAATACCTGCATGCCTTTTATTACTAAGCTTAAAGATAATAAAATCCTTTAAATGACAAAAGCTACAAATCTTCTCTTTAGCAAAACATCAATCAAAACCAGAAGTCTCTGGAATGACAATATCTCCCTTAATTTAGACTTTGTAATAGTCCTCAAAAAGGAGGTGCTTGGAACAATTCCTTCCTAAATTTCAAAAAGATAAGATTTTTTATTGGAAGAAGACAGAGGAAGAGCTCATTTTAATAGAACATCTAATTCCTGCATGAGATCTATATATCTACAAAGTTTCATTAAAATTAGATAAAACCTCAGAGAAGGAGAAGCAGTTTGAAATACACATGTACCATCTTGATCTAAACCTTTTTTCCCCAACAGGATAATAATTATATAGAATCACAATTTCTGTTCAATCCAAGTGCAAAATTATGGGGATTTCTTGAATTGTAACAACCTGTACTTAATCATCTTTGCTAGACAAGTGTTTGATTCGTTTACCTTCATGAGGGTTTTGTTTCTTTTTGCCTGCTTGGATCAGCTCAAGGCATGGTTTTGTTGCTTTTTGCCTGCTTGGATCAGCTCAAGGCATGGTTTTGTTGCTTTTTGCCTGCTTGGATCAGCTCAAGGCATGGTTTTGTTGCATTTTGCCTGCCTGGATTAGCTCAAGGCATGGTTTTGTTGCTTTTTGCCTGCTTGGATCAGCTCAAGGCATAGTTTTGGTGCTTTTTGCCTGCTTGGATCAGCTCAAGGCATGGTTTTGTTGCTTTTTGAGCCAACTTGGATCAGCTCGAGGCATTGTTAGTTTTCTGCCTGCTTGGGTCACTCCAGACATGGTTTTGTTGCTTTTTGCCTGCTTGGATCAGCTTGGATCAGCTCAAGGCATGGTTATGTTGCATTTTGCCTGTCTGGATCAGCTCAAGGCATGGCTTTGTTGCTTTTTGCCTGCTTGGGTCAGCTCAAGGCATAGTTTTGGTGCTTTTTGCCTGCTTGGATCAGCTCAAGGCATGGTTTTGTTGCTTTTTGAGCCAACTTGGATCAGCTCGAGGCATTGTTTGTTTTCTGCCTGCTTGGGTCACTCCAGACATGGTTTTGTTGCTTTCTGCCTGCTTGGATCAGCTTGGATCAGCTCAAGGCATGGTTATGTTGCTTTTTGCCTGCTTGGATCAGCTCAAGGCATGGCTTTGTTGCTTTTTAAGCCTGCTTGGTTCAGCCCCAAGACATGGTTTGTTTTCTACCTGTTTGGGTCACCCAAGGGTTGCTTGGATGAGCTCAAGGCTTGATTTGTTGCTTTTTTGTCTGCTTGGGTCAGCCCATACATGATTTTGCTGTTTTTAATCTGCTTGAATCAGCCCCAACATGATTTGCATTGACTTTGATGCCTGCTTGGATCAGCCCAGGGTGAAGTTTTTCTTTTTTTTTTTCAATGACTCAGCCTCAGGCATTATTAACTCTATCTAACATGACTGATTGATCAACCCAGGGCATTTTTCTCTCTTTGATGCCTGCTTGGATCTGTATGACTAGCTTTGTCTTTGATGCCTACATGTACAGGAATCAGCCCCCAAGCACTGCTTACTCTATCTCTGATACTTTTTGTGATCAGCAATGATTTTTTTTCTGCCTTCAATGTCTGCTACAATCAGCCCTGGACATGATTTTTTCTGCCTTTCATGTCTGCTAAGATCAACCCTTGGACATGTTTTTTTTCTGCCTTCTATTTCTATTTCAATCAGGCCTGGACATGATTTTTTTTTGCATTCAATGTCTGCTGGGATTAGCCCCATGTATAGTTCTGATTCTTCACCTATAGACAAGGGATTAGCCCTAAGTATTATGTTGCACATTAAATTGTAGTGATGTTTAAGATTTTATATAAACCTCCACCATTTTTTTTACCTTAAACCTTTGTTAAATGTTTAAAAACAGACACAATGACAGATGGACAACAGACAAAAGATGCAAACTTTACTGGAACAGCCTATATGAAGCAGAGCTAAACACATGTAATTACTTCTTAGCTGTTTATACTGTTCAGAATCACTATAAACCATTAAGTGGCCCCACAATATTTGACTTAAATCCATTTCCCCACAATATTTCTAGGTTTGTAAACAAAAGCTCCAGGCTACAGCAAGCACCAGACATCTGTCAGCATTGTATATCAGCCCAAAAGTTTCTACCATCTAGCATTTATTCCTGGTTAGTTTTCTATTTTACTTGGAACTTCACATAGGCTTATTGATTTTAAATTCGTCCACATTTATGCCAGAGGCTGTATTACAAGTATATTTTAAAATTTAAATCAAATTGCATTGTCCTCATTTGAGATTGTCACAATAATTAGAACTGCAAATGCTAGATGAATATTCTATTATTTTGGCCCTTTTTTTTCTTGCATATTATGAGATTATTTCAAGTACAAGTAATCGAACACCATTTTATATCATATTATTATCTCTTTTGAACATTGACTATGTAACACTATGTGACATTTGGTTAAGAGTCTGCCTGCTGTCGCAATGTGACAAACATTTTTACGACAGAAAATTGACAACTGTGGAAAATTTACTATTGAGTATTCTGTAATAATCCTATGAAATTATGTAACTTTATTAAGGTCAGTGACTTTTTTATGACAATACAAAATTTTCAGTTTTTATTTTTGAATTGCATGCACCTTATCTTAATATGTTTGCTTTGTTTGTGTGTGTATGGGAGGGTGTCTAAAAATTAATTGATGAAGAAAATGAACATATACATCAAAGAGAACAAAAACAATAGTGAGGGTCAAATTTTTCAAAGTCCTTGCACTAAAAAACTAAAGGTACTGTGAGCAATGAGCTCATTAAATGATACCTTCCACCTCCCATATGAATGTAATGGCAGTGTCCATGTTTTGCTATGGGAAACCCATAATATGTAAAATAGGAGGTGTGCAATGGAAATATGTAATAAAGATTCTGTGAAAGGCTCATTAAATTTCATTCAGTGGTATGAGAGGAGTTGGGGATAAGAGATGGGTACACCAAAGTGTAACAGACGGATGGACATCCCGATTACTATATACCCTCATGCTTTTCAAGCGGGGGGTATAAACATGCATCTGTGACATCAGCACTAATACTAACTACTTTTTTGCTGCTGTGTATGCATTTGTTTTTATGTTATTACTTCATATTACTTTTTAAATCAGTTTTTATGCTATTACTTCATATAACTTTTTAAATCATTTTGTGACTGATTTTTTTCTTGTTTATATGAATTTTATTACAATACACTGTATATGATTTTTATGCAAAGTCTATAAAAACTCAATTTTTCAAGATGACATAAAAAAAATTGTGGTTTTAAAGCCCAGATTCTATTTTCTGCTGCGATTTCCTTTAAAATCTAAACTATTGGATGACTTTGACTATCAGAATTTTTATAGTGTCAAATTATTTTAATGACAAGGTTTCAATTCAGCACCTAACATCGTAAAAGGTTGGAAAATAACATGGCCTTCTCATTTGTTTTTAGAGAATGAACATGAAGTTGCAAGCAAATACTTAATGTATGGGCTCTTACTCACTATCAAGAATTCAAGTGAAAGTAAAATATTCTCTATGGACTGTAAATTAATATTGATTTCTTTATGAGGCATTATTAGTCAATGTCCTGAATTTAAACTTTCTCTCTTTCATTCCATTAAACATGGTTAAAGGGAGGCAACTCCTTGACAACACAACATATTCGCAACAGTTATCAAACAGGGGGACAAGTTATGTATCTATAAAGTTGTATAAGTAACCCCAGTTACCCCCTTTGGTGAAGCAAATAATTCCCTACAAACAAATCATAACTTTTCTTCATCTTTTAACTACAAGGGAGACCTGTTAGTGGAAGCTGGTGAAGACTTACTTTTGGTGTAACCAAATTCATCTTCCTCTTCACTGTCATTGTGGTCTTTAGTCAAATTTGCCACTGACTCCAGTAAAGGTACCTCTACTGTCTGAAAAATCATTATAATTTTCTGATTAAAAAATTCTTTCAGAACTTACAGGGAAATAGCCAATTAAATCAAATCTAACTTGAATTAGTGCTAGCAATGGTTCATTTTGGCATTCAATGTGAGGGTGTTGAGATCACTAAGACTGAATATGATATTTTTAAGGAAAGTTGTAAAATTTGTGTCTCACTAAAAATTCCATTTATATGTGATATAAGTCTAGATTAGTATTGTCTGTCCTATATAATTTTTTTACGTCATACAATGTATTACCAAAAAATTGAATAAATCCATTATGAGACTGGGTCTTTAGGACAATACATCATTTTAGCAACAGAATAAATGATTTAGTAGTCCAGTGTACCTGATATGTTTGCCCTGCTGCTAAAGAAGCTTCATCATAAGAATGTACCGACTTTGTATCATTCTCCAAGTCCCTGGGCTGTAAAAAAAAAATACAGCAATATATACATAATTTTAAGATTAAATGTCTTAAAGTATTTTAAAGGTAAAAAATATTACTGCTGCACATAAAAATTTGTTTATGAGAAATACTAGTAATACTTTTTTTTAATGCTTTTTTATGCATTCTGAACTTACACAAGCCGGATCACACAAACTCTGCACAATAAATTTGACAGGAGACTTGGCATGACGAATGATGTCCACTGCTTGATCATGAGCAGCATTTCTTAAATCCTTTCCATCCACCTATAATTTAGATTGAATATATAAACATCAAAATCATCAATGCATTTAAGACCCATTAAATATAATACACTTCATAAATTCACTCTGAGTTTTTGTTCATTTTCTTCTTTGACAAGTCTGTCTCAAAATACACCTCTTATCAAAGGTTCATTTTTTAAAACTTTATGGAATACATGTACTGTAAACATGGAAAAAAATATTTTAAACATAGGTAATCAAAGATTACGAAGCTCACCTCCACGAATGTTATCAGTTTACGGTACGTAATGCAAATCAAAAATCATATTTTCTTAACAGTTAGTATTTATTCTGAAAACAATATTCAAGCAATTTCTGTTTAAATAGGTCTTAAAGTTCATTGGGATTGATCTGTTCCAAAAATTTTAACCTGATTATTCGTTTGGAATATGTTAATCAGATCCAGCATCTGAAGCAAGTTTCAATTGTTCATCCTTAGATACATCATCCATGCAATTTTGATCCCAGTAGGGCTTATATTTACTTGGGAATGGACCTGCTCCAAAAACTTTAACCAGGGTTCGACACTAACGGTGGACCGGCGGCCCGAGTCCACCAAAAAATTGGAAGGTCCACCAAATGTTCAGCACTAGGTGGACTGTCGGTCCACTTGAAATTTAAACACCGTATAAAAAAAAAAAAAACAGTGAAATTCCAGGTTTTTTCTTAAATCCGTAACTCAGATTATTAATTCCTCCATACCTGTATTTTACAAGAAATAAATACATGTACATGTAGGTATACATGTAAATAATGTTTATAAGTTAATCAGGGGGACCCAACAACTCGATATATTTTACATGTAAAGTTGATAACTCCAGTATTAACAATAATATTGAGACGCAAGAACATTCAACACGGACCTTGAATAAGAAGCATGAAAAATCCGTGCCAAATTAGCCAGCCTCTCCTCTGTTTACTTATTGCACTGAAAGGTGTGAAAATTACACTGGGTAACAGGAAATCGCTTCACGCCTGAATGCACACTGTTGGAGATAATTAGAATTGATTGACAACTGCATTTATGCATTGTTTTGTTTTGTTTGTTTGTTTTAAATAGATGTTCAAATAGGCGTAATTTACATCTGATGAACTAATCTGCAGTTTCATTGTTTTTTTTTTAATATACGTAACATTATATCACTACTTATTTGAATAAATTTAGAAAAATAATTAATACACATACAGGTATCTATCTCAGTTTTGCATCGTAGTAAAAAAAAAATGATCTAGTCATAAATACATGAAAAATTTACTTGTTTAATATTTGAACAAACTAATTATATAATAATTGGAATTTTAAATTTAATCTACCTTTGGAAGCAAAATAAATGCAGGTTTTCACCATTGTAACTTAATGATAATTATTAAAATAGGTTTAACAATATTTCTGAAAAAAAAAATCTGACCAGAACCTAATTGATTCGGTTCTGCATGTTGACTGGTTAGATTTATGCTTTTTTTTATTTATAGTCTGACTGGAATCGGTAATACATATGTATTAAAGTTAGTTTTAATTAATGCCAAACAATTCAAACATTTACTAAGGTCCACCAGATATTGAGAAGGTCCACCAATAATTTTTGACAAGTGGACCTGCGGTCCACCAAGGTAAAAAAGTTTGTGTCGAACCCTGTATTAACCTGGTCAGTCATCTGGAAAATGTAGGTCAGATCCAGCATCCGAATCAAGTCTGGTAGTGTCCATCCCTAGATGCATCATCCATGCAAGTTTGGTCTGGATAGGGCTTATAGTTACTTGGGAATGGACCTGCTCCAAAAACTTTAACCTGGTCAGTTGTCTGTAAAATATAGGTCAGATCCAGCATCCAAAGCAAGTCTGGTAGTGTCCATCCCTAGATGCAACATCCATGCAAGTTTGGTCTGGATAGGGCTTATAGTTACTTGGGAATGGACCTGCTCCAAAAACTTTAACCTGGTCAGTCGTCTGTAAAATGTAGGGCAGATGCAGCATCCGGTCCACCAATGTAAAAAAGTTTGTGTCGAACCCTGTATTAACCTGGTCAGTCATCTGGAAAATGTAGGTCAGATCCAGCATCCGAAGCAAGTCTGGTAGAGTCCATCCCTAGATGCATCATCCATGCAAGTTTGGTCCAGATAGGGCTTATAGTTACTTGGGAATGGACCTGCTCCTAAAACTTTAACCGGGATGCCGACACTGACGCCGACGCCGGGGGGTATAGCATAAGCTCATCTCGACTTCGTCGAGGTGAGCTAAAAAATCATTTTAACTATCAATTAAAAAATTTGAAGACTGAAAATTACTTATTAAAGAGCAAACTGATGGTGGCTACTGACAAATACAGGGCACCTGCTATTTGGTGCAAGGCCTTAAAAAACAGAAAAAAATTTAAAAGCGTATAATTGTTGTAAAGTTATGAACACTAGAGCAGACTGACCTCCAGGATTCTGTCCCCTGTTTTCAGCGTCCCGTTCTGACCAGCTGGACTGTCTTCTAAGACATGTTTGATGAAGATTCCTGAGATTATCTGTTCTGTCTGAACATTGAACATGTCCACTCTACCCCCTAAAAATAAAACACAGAAAATGTCATTCTATGTTACTCTTATATCATTATTATAAATACCTCCTAAAAATCAAACACAGAAAAACATTAATCTAGCTGTAAATTAAACATCTCCATTCTACCTCCTGAAAATCACAGAAAAAGCTAATTTAGCTGTAACTCTGTTATCATTATATCAAGTATTTCTATAGTAATACATGTAGGACACCTACCCACTATGCTGATACCCAAACTTTTGCCTGGTTCCCTCTCCAGCTCTACAGTTCGAGGGGGTCCCCACGTCTGATTTCCTGTGGCCGGGGATCCATCGGAGGTCAAGGACTTAACCCTGGGGGATACAGTCTCTGACGTCCTTTGTAGGGGGGAGCTCTTCAGGGGGGACCTCTCGGGGGAAGATTCAGGTTTTAGGTTCCTGGGTGAGGCCAGGGGGGACAGATTGGAACTGTAATGTGAATTAAAATTGTGATTTAAAATTAAATATCTTCTTGACTAAGCATGTCTCCTACAAATTATCTGAATATCACCATGTTGTACTGTAAAAAATCTTTTAATGTGAGCATTCGACAGACTCGTATTTCACTCTATTGAATCTCAACTTTGATATCAATTTTACTTGTTTTAAATAAAATCATCATTTTTATATTTATATTTTTTATATATGGATTTGTCCTTGTTTATTTCTTTCTGATAATTCTTTCTAAATGTTAAATGGCATAAAATGAGGTGAAAAATCTAGATTTTTATTTCACTCTGGTGCCAATGAACTACAGTAAATGCTACCAAAGAAAGTAATTCAGTTACATATTGCTTCAGTGAATTACTTTTTCAATTATACATCCAGAAAGGCTATTTACCAGTATCTAAAAATCTTTATAAACATTTTGTGATAAAAGTAAAGATAGGGAAGGATTTTTTCACCTTGAAATGTGATGAAATATTTGATACATGTATATACTGGGTATTACAGATAGGAAATACAACATGAACAATTATATTTCAAGAAAAAAAATCTTAAGAGGGCATCATATTTAAGATACCGGTGGTAATAAAAAAGAATAAAATGATTGTAAAAGAATATGATTTTAGAACTGAAACTGTGCAGAGAAATGAATCAGGGAAGTTTGGATGATTATTTATAAACTGCAATAAAAACACCCAACCATTTCTAAATCTTACCGATAATGTTTCGGAAATATCCTTTTGTGAGCATCAAATATAAAGAATCAGGACATGAAAAAAACTTCAACATCATGCTTAACCCACAACCCTGAATATCTATGGCAAATGCAGTAAATAAATTTTAGAAGCTCTACTATAACTGATATTGGTCACTTACTTGGGAGAGGGCATCATAGAGGGGTGAGGGGGTGTGGGGGGTTTGTTTACAGCAGTTTCCTGATAGGCAGCAGCATCTTCTTTAGGAATGTAAGCCACACTACAATAATAAAAAAAATCAAATTTAGTTTTAAGCTTTAAATCCCTGATTAAAAACTTTTCCCAGTGGATCACAATTATCAATGGTAAAGAGGCCAGTACAAGCCAGGTAGAAAAATGTTTTATATTCATAGATACTTTTAGATAACTTTTTGGCAGCCACCAGAAATCATGAGGCAGCCATAAGATAAATTTCTGGCTGCTGCCAATTATTTTTGTAGTGGTTGTCAGATAAAAAATTTTTCAACCTGGCACCTATTGGCTTCCTAAAATGGTTAATCTGAAAATGCTTGAATATGTGTTTAACAATTTTCATCCATGCATTTCTCCAGATGAAAGTGTCTTCAGATTTTCACTTAAGCATTGAATTCATATTTTGGGATGTCTTCGGTCCTATAACACACCTGGCCGTGCCGACAAATTATCATACCGCGCGTGAGCGCGTTATTATATTTTGTCGGTATGGCCAGGTGTGTTATAGGACCGAAGACATCCCAAAATATGAATTCAATGCTTATATTTACATTCTCTAATTTTTCCTCTTCATGATTGTCTATTTTGGTAATTTTTTATGTGAATTTAGCGTCCCTCAAAACTGGTGTGCTTTATAAACATAAGAGCCGTTTGTGACTTGCAAAGTCAAATAACGCAAACGAACATTGCGAGGAAAAAAAGTGACATTTAATTTTAAACGCACATTTGTTGTATTTTTACGCTAAATTAACAGGGTTAATCTTTTCTATGAAATTGTGTCAATACAGTGTACATTTTGGTGTTCTTAAAGTATTGAAAATGCATATACATGTAGTTCCTACTGTGTATTCTAACAAGGTTTCGTGTGTATTATAGAGATTTGAACGTCGTGGATTTCTAATGGATTTTATAAAGAAAATTACACTGAATGTAAATATATTTCAATGATGGACAAAAACAAATAGCAATGTCATCTAGTTGATTTGAGTGACCTTAATATATAGACACAAAAATATCAAACATCTAACACAGTGAAACATCCTTTTGGCCCCTATACAATTCTGGAAGATTAGTCCCTTGTAGCGAGGCTCATAACTATATGATGGCCCTTAATACCCTGAGCAGAGAAGAAAATTTTTAAAGATTGAATGAATTCTCACTATATGTTGACCGACACAATATAATCCCCTTCCTTTATCCTGCCATCCTTACTGACTGCACCTGAGTTGTTTAGAGACTTCACCATACAGCCATTAGCACCTTTATCAACTGCTTCCACAGTCAGACCTAAAAATAGTTCTACTTCTCAATGTCAAGATATTCCTTTTTCAACTAATGCTGCATTTTTATTTAAAATAAACCATCTACGAGGGTTGTTAGAAAAGTTCGCGGACACATTGAATTACGGAAAATCTATTATGTACTGTGAAGTATGACCTATGTCTGAATAAATTCCTACATTTTGTTTATTACTATGTAAAAAATCAGGTCCAGAGAAAAATTTTCAAACTTTACAATGATTTTTACTATATGTCATAGGATTCACGGAGCAATCCCTTAACGTAAGGCGACGTGACAACCAGATTTCAATCCGTTATGCTTTCATAACTAGGCACTTAGTTTTATAAATCTTTCCTTTCTGAAGAATTTTTCAAAGAATTCATTTTTTCTACTTTAAAATTGAACATCTATATGAAGACATGTTACCTTTCTACTATAATGTCTTTTGTACTAATTCGGATTGTATTGATTCGGATATTTTTGAGATCTTTAAAAACGTCTATGCAGTAAATTGATCAGGTTTGAAAACTGCAAAACCATATAGGCACAACGTCCATGCGATAAGAGGGTACTGAAGTATCGATGGAGTTAATCATTCAAAATGTTAATCCTTCCATTTATATATGAAGTCACAATCATTTGAAAACTTTTGTCCTTTGTGTGTGTAGGAAATTTCCGGCAGCATCTTGAAAATTTTAATCTCTTTTAAGACATTCTACTGTCTACACACATAATTTTTATGCAGTGCAGTGCTCCATGACGCTCAATGACGTTCCAATTTTTGGCTGTGTTTTTACGTGTTGATCATTTATAAATGGCTATAACACATTCATATACCCTCCAATTTAATTCAAAATTTCTTTAAGTGACGTTTCATGCATACTTCAGCGATAGGTAAAATATCATAAATCTCTTTGCGCTACAGTTGTGCAATTTCTAATTTTAATCTATAGTCTTTGAAATGTAAATGTGCCAAAATGGAGCATGCTCCGTGAAGCAAGATTTATCAAAATAAAAAAAGCCGTTTATTTTTCAATGATCACCGGAGAGCACCAAAGTTTTGTATATTTATTGGAAAATAGGTTAAGATTTTATCTTCCACAGTCAGACCTAAAAGTTTGACCGGTTTCTCAATGTGGAAATAGCCTTTTTCAATAGAACTTGTCTGCGCATTTTTATTTAAAATAAACCATCTACATGTAGTTAGATCATTATATAAATGTTTGAAAGAAAGAAGAATTCTTTTAGCCAATCAACATAGATCGAGTTGCATTAAATCATACCAGTATTCACTTAATTTTTTTTTTTCATTTATTTCATTGAAAATTATGACAGAAATCTACAAAATTTGAGTACAATGGGACCTACCCAGAGGGTCTCTAGCCTTTTTGATTTTGATGACCTTCTCCAGTGACACAGGAAGTGAATCTGCTCCTCCAGACAATGTGCGGGCTAGGCGTGGTGAAGACAGCGGTGACAAGGAGGGAGGTGTGATATGATTGGCTGTATTTATAATGGATGGTGAGTGAGAGTTTGTAAGGTCACTTGTGATTGGTTGATCTGATGAGGATGACTGTTGGCTGTCCACACTGTTTGTTTTTTGATGCCTGGTCTGGTATGGAAGAAAAAAAACACATATTATGCAAATTATCTTGACATATCTCAAAATGTATGGTTCATACCTGAAATGATCACAAACTCGATTTTTTTTTCTTTTCAGAAAGCTATGATGCATTTTAAAAAATTTACGAAGTTTTCATTTTTTATCATTTTGTCAACATTTATTGTTATCCAGCTCTGTAAAATTACATATTAATATACAATATGATGAAAATATACATATATTTTTGCATGGCTATAAGAAATTAATCCTCATTACCTACATACCATCAATATGTTGCATATGGTTCATATTTTACATGTGCGTCAATATTCACACAATATATTAATGTCTCTCAGATTCTTTGCAAAATTCATAGAATACAGTAGAACAGTTTAAGAGAAATATACATGGAGCATGCTGGCATGAATGCAGTATATATTTTTAGGAGAGATTTATTCAATAAATATCATTACATGCCTAATTCCATTTATGATATTTTTTAAGTACAATGTTGGGGCGGGTACAGATCATGCTTTATATAATACCTAATTTCTGATAACAATTTATAGTTATATACCATTTAGTAGAAATTTCTGATCTACTAAATAAATGCTGCATATCAATAAAAAATAGTTATATTTTATGAAAAATACATAAAAAACCATAGTACAAAATTTACCAAGACAATATTTTTAGTACATCTTTTCCTTTATATTTGTGATGTAAGTTGGAGTATTGTTCTCTGTATTCTTGCGAAAAAGCGTTAAAAATAGAAATGCCAGCCAGAGTGATTCATATATCACATGCAAGTCTTACATCAAGGTCTGTCAATTTGTTAATGCAACTTACCCTTACTCGTTTGGGATTAATTATCTATATATTATCAAAGCAGAGTTAATCAGATATGAAGAAGGACTCTGAAACCTCAGTGCATCTGACCTTACATTCAGTTTAGCAGCATACTTTTAAGCAGCATATATATAAGATTAGAAACCATTTTGGATGTGAATGCATGAACATTTTGAGAATATTAATGAAATAAGATCATTCTGAATTTTTATACAGGAAATAGATTTGACATAAATTATAGTTCTTTACAGTCAATTTAGGCAATAGCTGATCAGATACAACCAAAGTAAAAAGCTTTCAATGATCTGTTTTCTATCTATCTATATTATAGATATAAATTAAATATCTCTTCCAGAAATTCAGACTGTGAAGGGAACTTTGAAAAATAAAATGCTTCAACTACTTAAGAGTTGAAGAGCTTGATTTTAATGACCCACCTTAATGCTTAGTTCCTCTTCAGTGTGGTGAAGTTTTTCATCAAGAGCTGGTGGTAAGGAAACTGGAAGTGGGGGTGGGGGTGTGTCCTAAAATATACCAAGAACTGTAGGTGAAAAGTGCATTAGTCATATATATTACAGAGCTAAGAATTATCTGCTTGGTAAACTTTTACTTAGAATATGCCGAATTTTAATCTATATATTGGATTTCACAAAATAAAGAATCTTCATCATATAAATTTTCTTTAGAAAAAAAAATTAAAATCAATGTAAACATGTAGGATACATTAATTTACAAAGTGATCAGATGAGACACTGTACAATTAATGTTAATGAAATTAAATTGAGCTAAGTTCTTCACAGTACTTTTATAATGTATACAAATAAAGTCACTGAAATTTAGATATTTGATTATAGACACAGTACTTTTATCTAAATTTTTCATGCTAAAGTTGCACTGACATATAGGTAAAGAAAAACAATGCAATAACTTTATACAGATCCGCTGCGTAAATCATGGTGTACGAAGTATTAGTTTTAGTTCCTGTCACCAGTAAAAAATACATTAAAGGTATTAGGCATTTAATCAATATATGCATGCAAATAATTGATGAACATTCATTATATAGATCAGGGACTTAGAACAACAATATTAATGCTGATATGGAGGTCTGAATCTTTGAGAAGGGATGCATATTTGAAATTACTGATTTTTTAGTACTTTAATTACATGGATTAAGTCTTAATTCCTTACAAACTACTTTTCAGAAATATATGTAGATCCATCTAAAAAGCAATGAATTCAAACAAAGCAATGTTAAATTAAGACTAAATGTTTGAGAATATATTTCTTTTAAAGGAGTGTTATCTACTTTTAATCTTTTCTACTCCATTATGTTTAGACTTTAAAATTATGTGTTTACTATTGTGAAAACTACAACTTAAGAAAAATACCACATCCATATTTCATAGAAAAATTCTGCCCCTAATTTTGTAAATAACATTGTAATCGAAATACTAATATCCACGTAATAAATATACAGTGGACCCTCATTTATCCGGACGCTTTGGTTCAAAGTCAATTTGTCCGGATATGTGAAGCATCCGGATATCTGAATCACCAGTTAAACAAGACAAAATAACATTTAAAAATTTCGTTCCGATGAAAAAGCGTCCGCATACTGAAGCATCCGGATATCTGGCGTCCGGATATCTGAAGGTCCACTGTACAGATAAATTTATATTTTCTAAAATCTTATTTTTGAAACAAAATCAAATCGTCTCTACTTCACTTCATAAAGCAGAATTTTTCAATGGCAAAATAAAAATTGGTTAGTTTTATTTGTGCTGACCAGGTGCATATATTACTGGTACATGTATTAGGCAAGGGAGATAATCCGCTTTGTTAGTCAGGGGTTACCTTGCTTGCTGGCTTAACAACAATCTGTTGCACTTTTGGCGACACTACTTTAGGCTTAGGAGGAATTGGGGGAGGGGTCCTTTTAGGGGTCGACCCTCCCTTTTCACTCCTGGGCGACTGTCAGAAATTAACCACACACAGGGATTAGAGCAACACAACACAATGGACACAGATTAATTATGGTAAGGAGTTCAACAAATTTCAGGCCAAAACCATGACAACACTTGTTTTTATTTCATGCACATGGTAAGCTAAGTCTTGTTAAACTTTTTAAAATTCTTCTTGGACATATTTCCCTCAAAGCATTATTTCAGTTTTTAAATAACACACATAGATTGACAAGATTAATTCACAGAAAAAATATGAAAAAAGGGGGGAAGAACTACAAACAATCGGGTTTTTTTTTCTTATTAATTAAAAAAATGGATTACATCACCATGTTTACTGTCAATGTAAGGGATATTATAACAAAAAATTTACAAAACCATTTCAGGTTCAACTCACCAAAATTTAGAATTCTTAAAAGAATATTTACGCCAAAAGCTCAAAATCAATAAAAATCATTGAGCAATAATCCTAACAGTACAGAACTACATGTACATACAGGGCTTAAAACACAATTTTTAAACATGCAGGTGGATCAAAGAATGCAAAACCAGTACCTCTTCAAAATCAGATGGTGCATCAGGAGGGGTGTGGTTAAGGATTTGCTCAGTTTCTATAAATAGTTCTTCCTGCGACTCTGATCTGGGAGGCACAGGTGGTGCTTCTGCTGGGAGGTCAAGGTCACTCATGTTGAAAAAATCAGGCTGAGGATCCCCTGAGATGGCCTCTTCATAAGTGGGCAGAGCAAATGTTGTATTCTCATAATCTGCTGGAGATTCCGACCTGGGGCTCTCAAGGGGAGATTTACCTTCAGCTGGTAATTTTTCCTGAGTGAGGCTAAGCAGATTTTCTGGAGGCATGTTGTTGACATAGTCCTGTAAAACAGACGTGGACCGAGGCTGGGGAACGGGGAATTTTTTCTGCACAGTGTCCTTCTGGATGTTACTGTTTTTGATTTCCAGCAACACCTGTGAATTTTCATAGGAAACATTAGATCCTGTGGACTCCCTCTTGCGCCGGTCAAGACTCCTGCGAGGGGAGGTAATCGGCTTGTTCTTTCTGGGAGAAGTTATCTCCTCATCACTCTCATAAAAGCTGTCATTTTGCTTATGGGCAACATTCTCAGCAGAGGAGTATTGTTCAGTGAATTTTCGTTGTACTTTTTCTGGAGAAGTGGTGAACTGAGAAGGAGGGGATGGAAGGAAGCTGGGCTCTGTGTAACCCACACTGGGGAAGGGAAGGGTGGAATGCTGTCAAGGGAAGGGAAATTACTCTTGGTTAAACAATCCCAAGCTGATTATAAAACAACAGATCAAATGGTTTGGCATTCATACAGAATTTTTTACTACATAATTTATTTAAAAAATCATTTTTTTTAATTGTATAAAGATTTTAAAAATTTCAGTGAGCTTTTTCTAAAATGACCACTTGATAAAACAGCTTAAATTTATAAACTGTATATTAAGTACCATCAGATAAACAAAGACCAAACTCAAGTGATCTACACTGAAAAGATTAAATTGCATTATTAGATAAAAAACAAGCTTTTCCAAGCATTTCTTGCATTCAGACAATTCAATTATTTGGCACATATACATCAACACATTCAAAACTCCTGTTACCTGAAGTTCAGCCTGTTGGTGAGCCTCACTGCTCCCCAGAGGCAGAGCTTTCTTGACCCCGATCCTAACGATCCCCTTTGGCGCCCCCTTCAGGGCGTCCACTGCCTCGTCAAGGCTGGCATTCTCCAGCATTTCATCGTTGACAAAAATAAGTCGATCCCCGGGAAGGAGACGTCCGTCCACCTGGGCCACGCCCCCCGGGACCAAACTCTTGATTACTATCACAGTCTTGCTAACGTTTTCTGGGTCCTATTCGGAAAAAAAAATATTATTAATACCTTCATTTCAAAGGCAGAAGCTTAGTAATTTCTATTAAGTGAGTAGTCTTTCTTTTCTCAAATCTGAGATCTTTGTGATACAATTCAATGAAAATGCAAGGTATTTTATAGTCTTTACAGAACAACATTTTTAAGGTCAATACAATGTTAAACAATGTATAGTTTTATCGTTTATGATTACATACACTGTAAATTACAGTAAAACATGGTTGCAGCAAACCCACTTATAATGAATTCATTCTTATACAATGGTTTTTTCATTCCCTGTAGTTTTTAAATGTATTATGAACTTATAGGATATAATGAATTAAATTAAAACAAATAAAATTTTTTTATCCCTGGCACTGTAAATGTAAAATAAAAGGTAACAGTCTGTTACAAATACCTTGTAGTCCAAGATACTGAACCCTAGACCTTTGTCCCCTTTACAGAGTTCTATCACAACCGGTTCTAAGCTCCACATTTTAAAGTTTGTCAGTTCCTCTAAGGACCGAGATTTGTTCTTCATCAGCTGCTGGAGAACACTATCATCTGTCGAGGCCAGTGTGTTCTCTGACTTGGCTTTCACAAGTCTCTCTGTGATTGGTGAGACCTCGTTAACACCTGAATAGTTTGATTGAAGGTACGAGTTATAACCGTTTTCTAATTTCTCCTGGTCAGTGTAGTTTTCAGTCTCTTTATGGCGAGCACACACGAGACGTACATGTTGAGGAAGCTCTTTGAGGATTCCCACCACCTCCTTGTGGTTCAGGCCCAGTAGTCTTCTGCCATTTACCTTTCAAGAACAAAAATCAAACATTACAAATTAAGTTTCTACAATGACCAAGATTTGGAGAATTTTTAAAGAATGGTATCTGTAAATGACTTGATAACCATAGATTACAACTTGTAGAGTATTAAAAGATGTAGAGTACATATACACATCTTGAATAATCACCAGTGATATTTTTTTTCAACAAAATTTAAAGTTTTTGAAACTTTTAAATTTCAGTCATTAAAATTAAAGCTGCATGACAACTAATGCATGGTAAGTTACTGAATATTTTCAACTTCAAATTATTACAATTAAACGAAGAGAACCTGCATGACAACTACTAAATTGTAACTTATACAGACCTCTAGCAGTTCGTCTCCACTCTTGAGGTGGCCATTGATGCCCACTGGACCGTCACTGAGGATGAAGCGGATGTAGTGGTGGGGCCGAACCTCTACCCCCTTCTCCACGTCAACCGTCCCCTCCAAACTGATACCCAGGCCTCCCCCCTCACGAAACTTGGACAGCTGGGCAACCTGAAATCATTATATACAATAATTAATTATGTGCACTGTTTTACAACATGCAAGAATTTCAGGTGAGCTAAAAAGGTACAGTATTATCCCTCACCTATACAACCATATTAGTTCTGCTTTTTGAAATAAATTTTGGAAAATATCATGATGCCAAATTAGCAAACTACATCATATTAAAGCAAAATTGTTTTGTTTTACGCAATAAATTCAAACTGCTTCATTATTATAATCACTATTTTAAATGGACACCTGTTTTCTTATGAAATACTTACCACAACTTCAAATTCGCTGCCAACTATTGGTTCCCAGCATGCTTTGATGGCTTCTTCTACATCTGGAGACAAATCACCAGCTAAAAAAAATATATATCAGTTATCTTAACTCTTTTATCAAAAATTTAACAGATTCACTATGTGATGACAAAATTTCAATTTCATGGCAGATGAAGCATCAACTATTGTAGTAGAGAAAACATGGTACTCTTTCAATCCATTTCTTTATCTATCTCATTTCATTTCATGCTAAATTTCTGCACATTATATTATACGATATCTAATAATTTTGTGGTACATGCAAGCCAAGGGACACGATATTGGTTCATATTGAAGTTTTAGCAAACTTTTTGTATTTAATTTCACTTGAAAGCATTTGTATCACCAACACCACATTCAATAGTCTCATAAAATTCAAGCAGTAAGGAATATTCAATCATTTTGTGGTAGAATTTTTAATGTTTCAAATTTATGTAATCAGACAATCAAAAGTTATTAAAGAAAATTATTCTGTCTATATTTTTTTTCATATTTTACTATACAGTAATAAAGGGAAAAAAAAAAAGACAGAATTTTCAAAAAATTAGGGTAAAAAAATCAGGACACCTGACTCAGCATGAATATCAATTAGACCTTAAAATCATCCATAAAATGACAGCTTTGAGTATAAAAGAAAAAGGAATAAAAGAGTATGTTAGCCTTTTTAGTTCATGGTGGGTTCAACAGATAAATAGACTTTCTATGTCAACTTCAAAGCTAACCCTTTAACAGGCTTTTTTCTATCACAGAAAACTCCAAACACTTTCAGTTTCTTTGAACTCTGTATGATAAAGAGACAATTCTCTGTTCTTTACCAGACATTTAGAGTTTATTGATCAGCTTTATTGTTCTTCAGCAATCAATTGTTAATCCACTTCAATGTCAGATTAATTTTCCCAGGGAAAAAATAAAATTTTTAGATTTTCTAATCTCAGACTGACATCTCCTTGAGAAGTAATTGAGCCAAATCCTACTGGAGGCCTTTTTTTTTTAGTAGATTAGAAAACATTTAAAACTAATGGAATTCCTATCATCAATATTTATAATGCCTTCTCTTTTAGGCTTATCAACTTTATGAATTAGTTAGAGATAAAACAAAGAAACCAAGCATGCAATAAATCCCATAAATGTTTAAAATGTCTTATCCTAATCTGTGACACAGCAAATTCCTATTCATTTCTTGGTAGCGGGTGCACTATCTTTTCATTGAGTAAAGGAATGCTCCCTCAGAATTGATGTCTTACGTACAGAATGTTATTTTCTCTGTTATTCGGGTGATCATCATCCGTAGTCACACTTAGTTGTACAAAGTAATAGAATGACAGCATTCCAATACCGGATTAGACCACTCACATAATTGAATGTTTTCAGGCACAAAATGTTATAGTTTAATGAGAAGACTTGGAACAGAGAAGCCATCATGGGGCTTACTCAGGTATTTATTTGAACTACATAATTTATACGGGAAAGCTGCGAGCAACAATTAATGGCCTTGGCTCAAAGAGAGTTGAGGCTGCTGAATTTTAAGGGCATATGAACAGGATTTCATCTTCTAGTTGTATACTCGAAAATGAACTTGGTAATCCCCATACCTGGTTGACAAACACAATGCTACTGTTAACAGTGAATTGATTTGTCAATTAAATAAAATGTCTCAGTTATCACTCACAATAATCTTCGTCTGTGCTGAGGGTTATGTCATGAAGCTCCACCTGCTGGCTGGGTGGATCCAGGGGAGCGTTTTGTTGGATATGGTTCACCATTCGAGCCTGAGTGGGCTGTTCAATCATAGGCGAGGTAATGGTGGCTGGGCCATCCATGGGGGGCATCACAGGGCCATCCATTTGGGAGGGAGGGGGAGGGGCAACCACCATTCCTTGTTGAGGGTTGAAGGGGGGCTGAGCTAAAAATATAAATTAAAAAAGGTCATATTCAGTGATCAATTCAATGACAAAGAGACAAGTTCTTTAAAAGTGCAGATGTCCGTGAATATAAATATAACAAAAGATACCAGAATAAAAAAAATAAGATGAGGCAATTTTTTTTACAATATTGTTCATAATTGATCATTTCCTACATCAAACTGCAGGATATAGATTTTATATTAAAAAAAATCTATCATCTGACAATATAGATAATTTAGTAATGTGTCTGCAAAAGCAAATTGGCTGGCCGCTAATTTACATATTGCATGCACATGAGTCGGTCCAGGTGTATTTTCTAGTTCTTCTATAAAGGAGGGCTGCTAATAATGCAATACATTTACACCATAAATCATATATAATGGGTTAGACACAAGACATGAAAGACTATATAAATCATAAAAGTATTGATTTTTGCTTCTTTTGCAATTACTCCGTGCTTGGAAGATGTTCATGATACTCTACTGCGATTATCTATCTCGTCAAATTAACTTTTATTACATTCGTAGAAATATTAATAACCTGGAGCAAAATTAGTGATTCACTTTGTTTTTATTCCATGTTGTTCTTAGGAAATAATGTAAGATTGGACAATTGCTAAAAAGAAATAGCCATATCCAAACCCATTAGTCTTTTAGCTATTTCATTCACTTTTATGAGTTTGTAGAGGATATGGAAAGAAAAAATTTGTGAAGAATAATCCATGTGAAATATTTCCAAATTTGGAAAAAAATATACACTATGACAAAAAAGTACAATTTAAGCACACAGTATTTGAAATTAAGTTATTTTCTGAAATTAAACTAATGTGGAGAGAGGGGGGGGGGAGGAAAATATTATTAGTTACACAGTCAGTTAGTGACCTAATAAGGATTCATACAGGGTGTGAAATGGAAATCCGTATTGGGCGAGGCGAAGCCGAGTCCCAGTACGGATTTCCATTTCACACCCTGTATTATTAGTTACATAGTCTTTTAGTGACAGGGTATGGGATGATACCTGGTTAGTAAATTTCATACCTGGCGAGGCGGAGCCGAGTCAGGTATGAAATTTACTAACCAGGTATCATCCCATACCCTGTCACTAAAAGACTATGTAACGAATTTACCCCACCGATGTAACATTTACGTTTTATCTGTAGTTTATAACATCCTTCATCACGCTTATACTGTGCCTATTATGACGTCACGTTTGTGTTTGTGACGTAATACATCGACCGGGTATAGATTACAACTGACCGGGTATGGATTTACAACTGACCGGGTATAAGAAATCCACCGCCTTCACGTGACAGACTTCAACCAATCGTAAGCCAGGATTTCACAAAAAAATCGACAGAGGTGGGGTAAGAATCCGTATTAGGTCACTAACTGACTGTGTTACGAATTTATCCCGCTGAAGACCTTTTTCAATATAAAAAAAAATATTTGTGCATATTATGAAAATATTAAGTTTTAATCCAATAACAATCAACATTAAATATCGTTACGGTAACAAGAAATTTAACTAAACTACCTACGTAAACCGTTTCTTTGCCGCCATTTTATTTACAATAACAATGCTTCGAACGGAATCGCGTGCCCGATTTTCATATTACACCTCGACGGAGACATAATACGGAAAATTTCAGGGCGTCATGTGATCAGCCTTTATCCAATCAGCAATCTACAAATTTGTCTGAAGCGGGATAACAAAGTATACAAGGTTATTATTTAACAGAAATATTTGATTTTAAACCAAGTAAATATTTCTTAATTAAGCCCCTCACACACCTAGATACTGCTGGAGTTTCTCGTACTTTGGCCCGTGTTGGAATCGAGCCAGCTGTAGGTGTACCATCTGACCTGTGTTACGCAGGACCTCCACTGCCTGATGATTGGTGAATCCATGTAGAGGCTGGTTATCCACCTATAAATAGTAACAAGAATGAACAAGTTATTCCTCACCCGTGAGTGTCACTCTCTAAAACATGGGACCACCTTTATGTCATTCATACGTGCCACAAGGTGCTCTGTTGCAAATTCACACCCAAGCAAAGATTTAACCATATGATATATTTATCTTTCACATATCGTTGACCTTGTTCAGTTCATCTTGAAAATTAAAGTACAGCCATGACCTACATTGCCCCTTCACCTCATAAGCTATACACTAAGTTCTGTTTGACATTGGTTCCAATATTTTAGAGAAGAAGCTAAAATATATGATCGAAAGTTTGTGCTCTTCTCACAATGGTGTGAGAGAATGGATAGCAAAATCTTAAACAGATCGACGAGTCAGATGATCCTCAGATGGATTGGAAAAAGATGTCAAATAAAAATGCAATTTATGTATAATAAAACATACTGAATCTACAGATAAAGTCCAAACTGCTTTGTTACATTCATTTTGCATTTCACTTTAATCAGTCTTTCAGCTATTCAGGTAAAACTTATAGATCACCTTCTTCACAATGAACAAGTTTCATCATAATGCATGTTGTACCATGGTCTAAAACTCTACACTCAGTTTTATAAATAAATGATCTAATAAAGTTATGCAAGAATCTGCCCTTATTCAAAATTGATGAGCAATAGCATATGTCATTCTGGATAAACACAGAAGGAATGCCAATAATTATGCAGCTTTCATTAAAGACTAAAGATGAATGTGAACTTTATTGGTCTTCACCCTCTTGTAAAAATGAAAGGCCTTTTCATACAGAGTTGTTTTCAAATTGATTTGAATTCATATTGTTTTCAATATTACACCAATTAAAAATTGATTGATTTATATTAGTTCTGAGAACTTTAAATATAACCTAATTGCACCAGCATCTTTTTTATTGGCATCTCAAACAATAGCAATATAACAAGGGCTAAAAAAAAAATCAGTCAGGAGATGGCTCATCTCAAAATGTCTAACAATAGCTTATCCTGAATGGAAAAATTTACCCTTCATTACGCTAAATAAATAAATCACAAAATGTGATGCCTTAGGTAAAAGCAACTACAGCACATTTCCTACATGATTTGACACCTGAACACTTTCATGAACACTTCAATGGCTACTAACAGGCATTGTAATTCTCTCAAAGAGGAGGGTTTTTTTAAATTTCACTTTTTCAGGAAGATTAACGATAATTACTAGATTGCTTTTCCATGTCAACTTTAGAAATGTTCATTAAAATTGAAATCTCATTTCTCAGCTTGATTCACTTTTAAAATGTTTTTAACACAAGTCCAATATTGGGGCCCTATTACTTGACAACTCATAATGAATAATTAACTAGCACGGCATGTTCCAGAAAGGTTATTGGTTTTTCACTTCATTTCAGTTTAAAGTGTATAATGATATCTAATCAGTGTAGTTTTTTATTTCAGAATTTCAGAGCAGGTGAGACACCACTTAGTAACATTTAAAATTATTGTAAATACTACATACTTCATTATTGAGCTAATCCTTAACCAACCCCTCCATACCTCCCCCATCCCCATATCTTTTTCCTGTGCCTCTCTGGGGGTAAGATTAGAATACTTTGTAGTAGTTGAGATTGCTTATTCTCAGCCATTTTATTTCAAGTTTCATGTGCTTTGTACCATTCACAAAGTTGACTTCTTTTATCTTGTTCCATTATCACAGGTAACTGACCTATAACATGTTCCATCATCACAAGTAACTATCTATAACATGTTCCATCATCACAAGTAACTATCTATAACATGTTCCATTATCACAGGTAACTATCTATAACATGTTCCTTTATCACAGGTAACTGACCTTTAACATGTTCCATTATCACAGGTAACTGACCTATAACATGTTCCATTTCAATTCAAAGTGTATACATGATCATCACAAGTAACTTTTTAACATGTTCCATTTCAGGTAACTATCTATAACATGTTCCTTTATCACAGGTAACTGACCTTTAACATGTTCCATCATCACAAGTAACTATCTATAACATGTTCCATTATCACAGGTAACTATCTATAACATGTTCCTTTATCACAGGTAACTATCTATAACATGTTTCTTTATCACAAGTAACTATCTATAACATCTATAACATGTTCCATTATCACAGGTAACTGACCTTTAACATGTTCCATTATCACAGGTAACTATCTATAACATGTTCCATTATCACAAGTAACTATCTATGACATGTTCCATTATCACAGGTAACTGACCTTACATGTTCCATTATCACAAGTAACTATCTATAACATGTTCAATCATCACAAGTAACTATCTATAACATGTTCCATTATCACAAGTAACTATCTATAACATGTTCCTTTATCACAGGTAACTTACTCTATCTTGTTCAAATACTACAGGTGAATAAAAATTTTTGTTCCATTATCACAGATAACTACCAATATCTATATTGTTCCATAATCACAAGTGCAATAACTCATGTTGTGTTCCATCACGTTCCATCATCATAAGTAGCTAAAGGGTAAAAATAACACATGACCAAAATAGCCCTTTATACAGTATCTATCCTTTTTCCAATATCCCAGGTGACTACCAGTATCTTATTCCATAATTATGAAGTTACCAAACAGTTGTTCCAATATCACAGGAGAGATAAACTATCACAGGTAAGGTAACATTAATTAACTTGTACATCTATCTTAAGTGAAACTACCTTTTCTTGTATTACTATCATGGGTGAGTTTTCTATGCCTGGATATGAGAATGAGGACAGTTGTACATGGGGGGGGTATCAATTACCTTTATTATCTGATCATTGACTTGGATCCTTCCATCTTGAGCAGCAGCACTATTTTCTGCAACACTTTTCACAAATATTCCACAAAGATCATCTGAAATTATAATAATCTAGCATCAAAATCATTATCCAAAGTCAATAATATTATATTACAAGTGTAAACTAGGATGCATTCCTTACTACATCAACTTTGGCCTATTTAGAGAAGAAAAGATATAATCATATACTTGTATCCCTTTTGACCATTTAACAAAACATAAAACTTGGATCAATAGAAGTGAACTTTAATGTCGACTTTTGAATGACATTGATCCTAAAGGCAGATTGATGTCATATTGCTGTGACGCAATGCCAGCTGTGAACTAGATTTATGACAGATATACAAATCAGGCATCACGTTGTAAAGGCAGAAAATCAATATATAAACAAGTCACAAAACATATGGTCATTTTGACTATTACATCTAACTTCAAATTATAATTTAAGTGCATGTTTTATTTAATGCACATTAATTTTGTTTTTTAACATTGTCTTTTAGAACATGTAATTTTGTGTCCATAGTTTATTTGTCAAGTATAAGTATAAAATTCATAAAATTTTCACGTTTGAATCAATTTCTTTGACATCTCCATGTATTAACTTATTTTTTAAAGTTATCTATATATTGTTTAAAGCAAGTAAAAAAAATATACATACATGTATATGCTAAAACATAGTTATTGTGCCTTTAAATCTACAGTAAAATTTGATTAGTACGAACACAGATATTGTGAATTCATGGATATAGGGAAGTTATCTTGAATCCCCAGCTTTAAAATTTAATGTACAGTATTTCTAATATAGATATAGCAAATTACGTATATAGCAAAATAATTTCATAGGTCCTGGTGACTTTGCTATAACTAAGTTTCAGTGTATTTGTCATTTCCATATTTCATTTTCCTTTCTTCTAACCCTTTTACTTAATTTCAAATTTGTACTTCTTGTTACATTTGATGATTATGTTACAAGCAGGCATTCAATATAATTGCATTGTTTTACTATATATATATAAATGAGTTGTAATATACCTGGGGCATTGTCTTTGCCCACGTAACCTGCGATGGTGATTCCCAGACCCTGACTGTCCTTCACTAGTGTTACGTCAAAATACTCTACCTCTGGGTACTCTGATCCTACGTCGTTATACGGAGGCTGAAAATCAAAAAGAAAATTAACAAAAGATTGAAAATTATACAAGTTTATATGACCACATAAAATTTTTTTTCTCTTGATGGTAATAAATTTAATTACCAAAAATTTATCTCCTGTTAAACAGGATACTGAGAGATCTGCCTCAAACATATTTTAATTTTTGTCTTGACCTCAACATTTGGGATCAAAACCATGTAATGTCAATACACTCATATTCAACACCGACAAGATTTCTGGTTATGAAATATTTAGGATTATGGATTTTTTGGTACCCTGGACATCAGACAAGAATTAATATAAATCTATAGTGATAATCAGTTGATGTGTTGAAGCATGCATAAAAGAGATGGCAGTCAGCAGATATAATGATTGCCGACAGATATCACATGCATTTGAATGATGATTGGATTTGAAAAAAAAATTCTTGGAAATAACCAACAATTTCATTCTCTGATGGCTTTGTATTGCATATTCATCTAACCCATCACATTACCAGGAATAGGAAATAGGATTTTTCAGGGAAGAAATTTTAATTTGATGTTTTTTTAAATTCTTAATAAGGTAAAAACTTAACATAGTATGTGTATTGCAAAGTTATTTTAAGGATTTAATGAGAAATCGGTATACATGTACATGTATTTCCATTTCCTTTTTAGACAGAAAATGAAGCCGACTCTGAAAGATACACTGGAACCACGAAAAAAAAATCAACCAATCATACTGTACCATGTGAACTTGAATCATTCCCCCAGCCATGTCATCTGCCATTTGCTGGCTGAAATGGTCTCCATGTAACAAGGCATTAATCTGTTGAAGGTGTTCATCCAGCTGGTGGGTGGGGACAATAGGAGCGTGGGGGATGGGGTAGGGGGAGGGTTCATTGACTGGTCGAGCCACGATCAGACGGACTTCACTGCCAGACTGACGTAACACTGCTGCCACCTGCTCCGAGCTCATGCCCCTCACGTTGACCTCACCGATTTGTAGGATGTGATCTCCACTGTGTAATCTCCCATCCTGAAAGACCAATAAAAATGCTTAGTTTATCATTCTCATAAACTTATTGAATTATTATAGAAAAATATATTTTCAACTCTTAAGTTTCAATTGGTTTGTTCATGGAAATGGATAAATATTGCGTACTTGAATGGATTTGAATTACAATGATAATAGTGACAATGTTTCAGATAAACCAATTTGAAAGAACATCTTTAAAAGAAACTTACCCTTTACATGTAATATGCATGCTATGAAGCATCATAAAACAAAGAGTAATACTATACGTAATTTCTATAGAAACAATGCACTTATTTTCAAAGTTACTTCCACAATAATTCACATTGGCTAAATTATCCATCAGCAGACCAGAGTGACTTATCACTTGACTAGAACTAAAATGTGACGACAAGAGAGCCATGAGTGATAACTATCTGGGAGAATCTGGATTACGGTGTCGTCTATCTATACATAAAATACTTCCATCACATTTAATTCTGAATTATGAAAGACAATGACAAATGCTTGACAACTTTTGTGTATTTTTTCTCTACAAAATCATAAAATATTTATGGCCACCGCTTATGACAAATCTCTAAACCATTTCTAGAGAGGACCAAAATAATCAAATTTTCCCTCCGAGGTAATTAAGACAGAAACCAAAAGTAGCAGACACTTTAAAGGTCAATAGTAAAATGAAAAGTTAAAGCCTAAATCTATCCTGGCATCTAGCTCTTCAAGCTTCTGGCATCGGAGATACACTACCGCTAACGAGTTTCTGAAAAGCCATGAAACTGACATATTCTGACAGTGGAACAAGGCCGCAGCACAATTGTTGCTGTAAAAGTTACATCCAAGATTTGATGAAAACAATTCCTCCCAGGCACTGGTAAATTCTATTAAGTTAGCTTTAGGCATTCTCTACAGACATGATCTCCATTGATCAGTGGAGCTCCGAAAAAGAAATGCAAAGTATCATTTATCCGAAGAGTGGTCTAAAATGGGGTGTTAGAAGCTATAATTTGCCACTGAAGACCCCTTAACTTGGATGTGATGGAGAATTAATCATTTGGAATCAAGATGAATACACTATGGAGGATCTACAGATTTGATACTTGGGTCAGAAGTGATAATCAATTCATGAAATACTTGTTCCTTCATTTGGCAATTTGGGACCTGGGATCATACATCTTTAAATTCAAGTTATTTATTCCATGCTATTTTGTCGTTAAGACAGATTACTGGAACTGATTTATGTTCAATCAATTTTTTTTCTCACATTTAAAGACTTGTAAAATGCAAAATAAAATTGTACATATTGAGGAATATGTGACCCTCAGCATATTGCTAGAGTCATGTCCCTTTTTCAATTTTCTACAAACAAAAATCTTTGGGTAATGGTAGATAACTAGTATGAAAAAAAAATAACATTCCCAATTAATTTGGTCAGATCATAGAAAGAGGAAGACAGAATCAAATTGTGGATGGGTCTACATAGTCTATAGATAAGTCACACCTTTTACAGTTCATCTGATTTCGGATGCAATATGTTTATTTCTTTTAATTTCTTGTAGAAAGAACTATATTTGCATTTTGCTAAGATTAAACTGACAAGGGTTTTGCCCCAACATCTGCACATTTTTTTTTTACCTCTGGTGTATGGGAGGAACTATTCACAACAACATACTGGTATACTGAATGAGTACATGTAGCTGAGATTGCTTCTATATACATTTACTGCAAAATCACTATCATTTTCATGTACAATGGGTTTCATTTTCTACCACCATAAAATGTACATTTCATATTCCATGGAAGATCGAGGTATGAATAGATGCACAAAATCAAGTCTACCACGAAATGTAAATTATTTTGTAAACATAACTACTCAACAATTCTTCATCCATGAAATCAAATCCTCAAGAAACATGTTTTCCTAAAGCCTAAAAATTTGACCCCAGAGAAATACTGTACACTTATTATATTTGGTGTGTACAATACTTGGCAACAAGTTGGCGTAAATTTGACATAGCATGTACATTTTAAATGTGCTAGATTAACTTATGATATAAAAGACATAAGCGGTGTTTTTGATTTAGCAGATTCTGGTTTCTGCCATAAAAGCTAAATAGAATAAAATACACTGCTATTATGTAATATGTTTACAGTATTGTGATTTTACAATATCAATATGACTCATCATAGCTTTGCTGTTCACATATAGGAAAAGAGTTTATAAGATTTGCAACTTTCACACAATTATTAAGCCAGGAGCTCACCAATCTTTGAAATAAATTCAAGATAAAGTATTACCGGTACTTACAATACAAGCAATTCCTCCAGGTAAAATAGTCTTGACAATGACCCCAGTGCTGCGTCCCCCAAATATCCCGAATCCTAGGCCAGATCCATCGTTAATTAGGTCAATCACTTCAATTTGGGTCCACTCAGTGTTTAACTGGAAAAAGAATAAAATACGAGTTAGTCAAGGAAGTGGACAATGAATCAAGTTATGCAGAAAATCATCTAATATTATATCAGCAAATGATGTAGAAAAATGTGATGATTTGTTTTGTTCACAGATGTGACATAATGTTCAATGATGAAATAGAAAGCTTTCTGTAATATCAAAAAAATTTTTTTGAAATCCCTCTACAGTCAAGAGTCCAATATTTCCTAAACAATGAAGGGTTTCAACACATGAGATGCTGTTCCTTTAAATACACACTTTATATGCTTTAAACCTACTTTTCTCCACTGAATTTTTCATTTTAAGCAAATTTACATTTTCCTTATAATGTCTCTACCTACTTGTTGGAGAGAATAATCCAAACTCAGATTGTTATATGTATGAATGATTTCTATGCTTTTTGATAATATTGTCAGGTTGTCTTATATAATTAGTGGATCTAGCACCCCTGCATTCCTTTTAACCAATATATCTTGGCGCTTTTGGGGACCTCAGCCTCAGCACTTTTAAGGATTAGAAACATTTTTCAACCAATGAATAGGGGGCGCCAAAAATTTGGGGGCTGCCTTCAGGCCCCCAGTGGGTCCAGGGCAAAGCCCTGGTGGGGGCCCAGGGGGCAAAGCCCCGAAAGCCCCTGGATTCTACAGATTTTGTAGGGTAAAAAGAGGTCTACCACGTAGACATATTCACATTTTCTAGACGAAACTGTGATTTACGCTAACCTTTTTGTCAGGTGCACTATATCTGCCACTGTTTTTGGCTATAAACCTTTTTGTCAAGACTATAACCTTGACATAATTCTTGACAAGACAACCTTGACACAATTCATAGGAATTATTCTCAGACATTAGTCTCTGTGTGTGCAAGCCTCCTAATGTACCATGTTTAACATTCACTGTAACTACTACAAGCACTACAAGTTCAGTACTTACAGATACTGCATTAGGGACTCTGAGTCTGACACCCATGTAGAAGCATTGTCTGTGTTTGTAGGTACTTGACAAATTGATGTTGTTTTGTTGTAAAGTGAGTCAGTGTAAATGGACTCTAAGACATTTATGATATATCACTTCTGCTAGCCGCTGATCACATGATAAGCACTTTATCATGGAACTTTTTTCTTGCAGAGAGAACTGAGAATTTCAAATTTTACTTATTTCATTTTCAGCTTGAAAATTTCATCAGTACACTCAAAAAAGGGCCTGTTTTTATTTATCCTAAAGAAAAGGTCTTTTAAACTGCAGTCACAATAGATATTCAACTAAAAAAAAATCATACAATACTATACTCCTAACCTTTGTGTATTCTCAATGACTAGAACGTATCTGCTTCACAAAATGGCATTAAGAGTTTTTCAGGAATTGCCTGATTATAGTCAGCTTATCGTGTTACAGAGTCAGGGCTTCATTAGGGCTGAAACCCATCTGGTGGTTTTAGTGGGACTATAGTGCTGGATTCATCACTACGCAATCAAAAGGAGACAGGAATATGATAGGTCTGCATTCTCCAGCCTGTTATTATACGCCAAATAAAGACAGAAAATATTGGGCTGCTTCAATATATATACAGTTTTTTGAAAAAAACGAGACAGGTCTTTTGAGAAGCCATAAGAAATGATGTCTCAATATACTGGTATAAAGGAAATGCGGCATCATTATTCAAATGCTTTATGCCTAAAATCTTACCAAAAAAAAAAAAGACAAAACTAAAATATGCTTAATTATGTACAGTGTATATCTAATCTATGTGAAATTGTCTACAATAAATTTAATATATTAAATCAGTCTAATTCAGTGGGGCACTGATTGAATTCAACTGTTTTCTATCAAAAATGATGTCCCATTATTGAATTTAACTGTTTTCTAGCAAAAATACCCCACGTATGTGTAAAGCTGTTTTCTAACAAAAACAATCAAATACTAGATACCATTTCTCCTTGTTTTCTTTTAAAGCATTAAATGTTAATTAATTGGCTCTATCCAGACTATCAGTGTTCTCATACCTCTTGCCTGACAAGCAGAGAGGCAATCCAGACTTTATTTGTTTCTCTACTTACTTGGTTCTATTAATTATTAATATTTGATAATTGATTACAACCCAGTATTGCCGCATCTATAGCCTTTAAAATGTATGCAATGATCGCATGTTCAATTGTTCACAGAATTATTGATGTTCATGGTTTTACAAAATTGTAAACATTAACGAAAAATCTTATATTGAAAAACCCATTATACAAATGTTATGCATTGTTATTAATCTTGCATTATGTAATAACCTTAGTTTGACTGAACCCCTAAGCTAGCAGGTACAAATTTCCTTAAAGTAAACCTTTACTGTTCATAATAATAATATTTTTCTTTTAAAGATGCAAGGCAGTTTCATTGTATAAATTACTTATCAATAAGGACATTGAATTCAAATGAATGCATATCATAATCATGCAATTTGTGCACTAGCTTGCTTTTATGCTGCAAGTTGATGAATACATAGAATTTACATCGTTTCAGACTAAGTCCCATTCTTGGCTCTGGCTAACTTTCATTGAACAATATACCTACCACCATGTCTGAGTGAACCTCGGGCTGAACATTTGGAACTGAACTTTGAGTGGGTTCAGCATTGACGAGCGGTGGAGGTTCAAAGGGTGGTGGCAGGTAACCACGAGCAATGATGAGCACCACCAAGCCGCGGGCACTCTGGAGAATCCTGATGGCCTCCTGATGTGAGATGTCTAATGGCTGACCGTCTATGGCCAGAATTTGGTCTCTCTCTCGCAGACGTCCATCCCTACAAAATAACAAAACAAGTTAAAGCAGTAGAACCAAGAAGCCAAGAAAAAAATATGATGAGAAGTGAAAGCATTATCCATAGCAAAGATATGAACATTTACAATATTGCCAATAAAAAAACAACTTTATTCTAAAACATAAAAAATCAGTTTTAATAAAAGATAAACTTGATTTATAAACACAAACACAAGTTGACCTGCAAATAACTTGTACCTACATGTATTTATTGCATTTCATCCACAATTAAAAGATAAAAACAAGTCACACCTTAGAGTCTAGACTAGCCAAGAAGCACACGTGCAAATCTGCTCGTAATGTTGACTCCTTATATCTTGCAACTGAATTCATAAGAGTCTGCTAACTATCACACAAGATTTTTTTGGCCATTACAGAAGCTTGAAAAAAATGCATGGTCAAGGCATTTAGGCTCTTACTTACCCTGTATCTGAACCCCATTCTTTTCTCTTTGGTTCATATATTTTTTGTTGGGGATAGCTGTCAATCTAAACACCTGACTTCTATTACACAGAACCCCCCTCCCCGTTTTTCTCCACCATCACAGCTCCTCAGAATACAGAGTGATGACACTCTGAGATCTAACACTGCTGACCCACAGGGAATATGGGATTATCTTATACTTCTTTATCATCAACATTATCCTAGAAATGGCTCCCATAAGAGGAATCAATAGCAGCAGGTTTTACATACTTTTTTCTTCCTTTTTCATTAATAATACGAGAAAGTGGAACTTCATTGCAGTATTGATTTATAAAACATGTCTGGATTTTCAGTTATGTCACAACTACATATCAAATTTCTGTCAGTAAATTGTTGATAAAGACCTTTGCTCGTGACTGCATTTCTCTAAAAATGTCATACTGCCTCATAATGAGTTAAATGGGAAGAACAGGGAGAGAGTGTTTCCCAAGTTTGATGCCATTAAAATAGGGAACTGTTCAGAGTAATGATTCAATCATTGATTTTAAATTTAATTTTGGCTGCTTACCAAAATCTATACTGAGCTTACAACATCCAAGCACAAAAAAATTACTTGTTCATTAAATTTATTACACTAAAAAAATAAATACACTTTGGGTATATAAAGAATATATTATGTTCTCTTCCTCTTTTAACATTATACCGTAATTTCGGGAATATAGGTCGATGGGGTATATAGGTCGAAAGGCTCATTTTCAGCCTTAAATTTTGAAAAATCCTAAGATAGGTCGAACTTACTATATAGGACGAGGCTTTGTTTCCCGTTTTCTTAATATTTTAACGCAGATACAACGTATCAGAACAGGTAAACCCCTAAAATTATCGGGGTTATTCCGTGACATGAACGTATCAAGAAAATAAACAGGTATTTTAATGAGTACAGCAATTAAATACTGTTTTGTAAAAAAATGTAGTTAAAACTTCTTTGAATTGTGTAACTACTTATTTTTCTCCAACTTGCCTGTTCAATGCCTCCGTAGTTTCACACTGTTGTTAAATCAGAGGCATAAATAACACGTAAATACGTTATTATTTTACAGCTATAAATCGGGAGATACCCGAGACCAAAGAATAGTAATTCCGATTTCAGAACAACTTGGACACATTCCTAATAAATTTTACTCAAACATTATTTACCGGTGGACGACAATTACTTCGATGTCCGCCATTTTTATTTTTCTTCTCCAGGGATTTGCTAAACCACGCAAATGACCATTGAATGTATATATCAAGCAACAGTAAAGAATTGAAATCATATTAACACTCTATAAGTTTAATTTATAAATTTTAATTGAGAGTACATTCACAATTTGACTTTCAACATGAATTTCACGACATTGTTTGTTCAATGATGTTTAACACTAATACCCTATAATGGCACGTGGGTTTCTTAATCATGCCCCGCAGGCATTTAAACCAACAGTCAACACAGGTGTTAAACACCTTTGCGTACACAGTGTACGGTAAATCCCTTTATCTGTCAGACAATTAAAATTCTGTTAGAAGCCAATCTGTGTATACCGGTAAATAATTGATTAATATTTAAAAAAAAAAAACAGTAATGACTTTTTTTTTTTAATTAAATTTAGGAATTGAATTGATTATTTCACTCGTTTTACATTTAAATAAACATAAGACAATAAAAAATATTTGATTTACTATTTCAATTTATCGCTACTAATAAATGGTAAAAACACAACAGTTGTGATCGTGAAAATTTTCCGTATTTTAAATTTTGATACGGTTGCGGTTTTACTTTTAGTACACGATCGCGACTTCCTAACTTCACAAGATGGATACCGCATGATGTTTATGGATAATACGTTGAGGAATTATTTAATAGATATAGCAACGTTGTTTTCCTTTGTCATCAACAGATAATTAATGGAACTTATTTTGTAAGAAAGCTATAGAATAAATATTTTATTGTTTACTGGAGCATTAATTTTTTTTGCGAAAATAATCAAAAAAGTTACGAAAGTGACACAGATTTGCTTTGAAATTGGCGTAAATTTTACTGATTTGGGGGCATTTTTCGTAAACTTGAGCCTTAAATAGGTCGAATTCTGAATATTGGTCGACCCCAGCGGTTCTGAGAAAAAAAGTATCGACCTATATTCCCGAAATTACGGTAATTGATGTTAAATGAATTGGAATGTTCTTTTACATATATCTTAAATCCTTGGATATCATGATGTTTTTTTCTTTGAACCCCATTGAGATATCAAGGTTTGATTGTATATATAAACACATACCACCCTTTCCAATATTTCACAAACAAAATAAGTGATAAAATTATAGTCCCATCAATCGCTTCAGAGAATTCAATCTGTAATGTCAAGTCAATGACTTGTACAATAAACCATCAACAGTAAAACAAAGTTTATGACAATTCAATAAACGCAGTGATAAAAATAAAGCTATATATGGTCACCAAGTCTTACGTTCAAACCAGCAATATTACCAAGTGAGAACCATGTTTATGAACTTCGCAGTAATTAATAGATTCTTAAAAAGGCCAGAGCCAAACCAGCTAGTATAAGACTTGTGGCAAGGCATGTATTCCTTACAATAAGTACTAAAACAAAAGCTGGCTGCCTCCGTTTTTAGCTCAGGCAATCCAACAATATACATAATGAACACAGGACCCAAGAGAAAGCAAACTGTCAATTATTTATCATTAGCTTTTCCACTCAACTTCTAACAAATCTAATCAGATATATTTTTCGTCCATTTTCACCTGTTCACCCATCAGATTGTGACAAATGATAACGTAAAGGTCTTATTTGCTAAAACTGGCTAATCTTCTAATATCTGATGCATCAATACCAAACCAGATCCACAAAAGGAAAATCTTCCTCATTTTTTTTATGTTACATGTATGTGACAGCACAGCAAAATGACAATCCAAAAAAAGTTCCCATTAGCACATAGAAAACTGGACAACTATTGATTACTTAAAAGAAAAAGATGTTATATCCCTTATTTTAAAGCTTTTATGATTGCCTGGTAGCAAAATCATAAGTGCTAACACATCCCCATTGAAAATATATGTATTTAAACATCGACTTTAGAAGAGGGTCTAATTGATTTCCTTGGAGTTTTTGATTAAATCTAATGATTTTCACTGCTGACAATGAACCATAATTACAACTTCTATGACAAACAATGTGTCATACACAATTGATGCACCACAAGAGTTAGCTCATTGCCAGCTTGCAAGCAGTCCTGATATAGTAATACTATTAGATTATACAATGGATAAAAATTCACTTAATTTCTCCTTATATAATGAACCATTCTCCATTTAGAATAGTGGCTTCTGGAAAATAAATATTTTTAGAAAATTACAATGCCATATTTCAATTTTGTTAAACAAAACTCAAGTCCCTGATGAAATCAGTCTAAGGGTCTTCTAGGTACAATTTTATATTTCTGATTAAATAACATGAAATTATAAAATGAAGCCATGCACTCTCCTGATTGTTTCCACTATAATTTTCTTTTTTTTTTCATGTTAGTTTTGTGTTAGCACAAGTAATAAAATTTATCAGCCAATAAAATTTAATGATTTTTATATTATTGAGAAGGAGAAAATACATGTACACTGTATACTAATACATTTCTGTGACATCACTTGACACGAGACTGGCAAAATAATTTCATAATCTTGTGTATTCTGTCCATTTGAAAATGCCCTTTTTGGCCACAAGAGGACATTGGTATCTGCAGTGCTTCAATAAAGCTTCACTTAGAGCTAAGGCAGGGCTTCAGAGTAATGACCGCAATAAAGTCAGCGAGTCCATATTCCTTTTAGTGGTTGGTTAACTTTATACATGTACAATATGATATGCATGTACATTGTTGTGCAGATGTTAATCCAATGGTATTGGCAGATGATCATTTTATCACATGATATTCTATTCTACCATTTTAGACTAAAAATATTCTGTACAAGATGAAGCTATGACAATGCAATGTTCTGGAAATGAAAATAGTACATATGTAAAGTCAAACTCCTAGGGTTCATATACGAAACACAGAGCTCTTTGACAAGATTTTTCTACGCACATTTTGAGACTTGATTTTTACTTCAACAATCATAAAGAAATAATAGGCCATTAAGCTTCCAACTCAAAAAAAAAGTTCCCTTTAACCATTTAAGAAAGTCACAATTTGCTATCACACTATCTATGGTAAAGTTATACCTATCCCATTTAATTTTATTTTTTAAGAAGTATTTCTTTTTGGGGGGGGGAGGGGTAGTAATTTGATTACAACATTTTCTCTTAAACCCCAGTCACATTTCCAAAAACGACCAACAGCCGACGGGTTTTCAAGCAAAAATGGGATTCTTCGGGTGACTGTTGGCAGTTAATCCGCCGTTGTCTTGGCCGATTTTGACCTATTTTTTTGTCGGCCAACCAATTTTGTGTCCATCGGTCCAAGTTATAAGTTTTCATGCGTCGGTGGCCGATTTCTTCAACTGCAGTTACCTGT